ACGTAGAAATCAGTTTTTCTCTTTTGTTCACATTTGAGAAATGTTGCTCAATTTGTGTACATGGTTTTGCACACATCTAGCTTTTCAACAATAATTCTTCATAATGTAGAAGATCAAAACTAAAACCCAGCGAATAAAAATAGCGATACACTACATCGTTTAATAACCTGGTATAGTCCTTCCCAACTACACGTTAATTTTGGATACAGTCCTTCCCAATTTTAAATTTTATGGGGAATGCTGATTAACATTCAAAAGAACGGCCACGTCTCAGATGGTCCATCCGTTGAGTCCAATTTTCGATAACTCGTTTGAGCATTTCGACTGGTATCTGGCGAATGACACCCGTGATGTTTTGCTCCAAGGCTTGAATCGAAGTTGGATTGTCCGCATAGACTAGAATTAAGAATTTACATATTAGCACAGAAAAGAGTCTAACGGTGTAATATTACACGATCTTGGTGGCCAATCGACCGTCCCAAAACATGAAACTATCTGCTCACCAAAGTGTTCTCTCACTAAATCCATTCATTGATGTGATGTCTTGTTGAAACCAAATGTCATTCAATTTCAGGCATCAAATAGTCGGTTATCATTTTTGATGAAATATGGACCGATGATTCCACCGGCCCACAAACCACATCAAACCGTTGTTATTTCTGGATGAGACGACAGCTCTTCAGGTTGCTCTTTATCCCAATTGCGGCAATTTTGCTTGCTTACATACCCATTGAGCCAGAAATGGGCCTCATCGTTCAACAAAATTTGGCTGGAAAACGTCGGATCTTCTTGAAACTTTTCTAGAGCCCACAGAGCGAAGCGATGTCGCTTGGAAATTTCGAGCGGCTTCAGTTCTTGCACAAGCAGTATTTTGACGCATTCAATTTAAGATTTCGACGTAAAATGCGCCAAGTCGTTCCATGCGTCAGTCCGAGTCATCGGTCATCTTGTACACTCTCAGCTACGGCCGCTATATTTTCTTTATTGTGAGCTGGACGTGGTCTATTCGGTCGAATATTATCCAATAATAAATGCTGGGTCTCAAGATTGGTGATGGTGTAGCGAATAGTACGCTCAGTAGGTCGTTTACGTTCACCATAAGTTGAACGAAGCGCGCGAAATACATTCTTTACAGGACGTGAATTTTCATAATAAAGTTGAACGATTTGTAGACGTCGTTCGGGTCATTGTATAAATCTACAAGTTACCAATCCTATGATTTTCACTAATACACACACGCAAAAATATCCCACTTGGTACGGGTTGCCTCGAAAATTCTACTACTAAAACGCCCAAATGACAGAAATCTGCTATAGTGTGTTACCGTGTTATGTTTTAAAATTTATTGTTTTTTATTCCATATTCAAAATTACTAAAGATAAAGTTTACATAGTATTATTTACATTATTATTTATTGTATTGAAATATTATTAAATGTTTCCAATTTTATATTTTTTAGCTTATATATTTATGTTTTTGTGAGTGAAAATTCTTTGTCTGTTGAATATTTAAATTCCTAGTTTACCGGTTTAGTCCTGGTGAACCGAACACCCAAAAAAGATCGGTAACGCTCCTATATTGCAACCTCAGAGGTAGTGAGGAAAAGCAATAAATATATAATAATCTTTTGTTTCGAAAATATTCTTGAAAGTTTTCATTATTATTTCCATTAGAAATACATGTTCATAAACAAATTGTTAAACTACATCCTTTTATTTAAAACTCTGTGTCAAAAAAAGGCATATTCGATCAGGTGATCACGGCTGTTTCACACACATAGAAAAACAGCTGATTCTTTGGCTACTTGTAGGCTTATACAATGGTTCGGGCGTCTTTCCATAATGAAATGCTAAATAATATTGAACAAAAAAAACGACTCACACGTGATCTGTCAAAATAAGGTTATTGAAAAAAGGCTCTACTTGGAACACCCGTTTTAAAATATGTTGATTTTGAAAAATGAAATGTGCAGCGGCAAGCTTCAATAACCCTTATGAAAATATACCATTAAAACTTGCCAAAAAGTGGGTAATTTATTGTAGGCGAAATGAATTTCGCTTTCATAATAATAATAAACTCAGACTCTTTTCACTATAATTTTATTTAAACGTAGAATAAAACAAGTAAGGAAGGGCTAAATTCGGATGTAACCGAACATTTTATACTCTCGCAAAGTCAAATGGTATACTCGTTTGAGATTTCTTTGTGGATTGACTGATATTTTCGGTAGAAGGTCAACTATAGGCACTGGGCACAGTTTTTGATGACAAGGACAAGGCATACTTTAAATTTACGCAAGGTTTTACCCCGATATAATCATTGTTGCTTGATATGCATAGTGGAAAGTGAAAGAATCAGATGGAATTGAAAATGGTGTTATATGGGAAGTAGGCGTGGTTGTAGTCCGGTTTCGCCCATTTTCGCACTATGACATAGAAATATGAAAAGAATGTTATGCACCGAATTTGGTTGAAATCGGTTAAGCAGATCTCAAGATACGGGTTTTCACCTAAAAGTGGGCGGTGCCACGCCCACTGTCTAATTTGAACGCGATTGCTATAAAGTACCATCCCAGAGATAAAATTTAATGTCTCTGGCGTGTTTAGTGCTTGCTTTATCGCGCTTTTAGTATTTTTTAACAGTACCGTTATATGGGGAGTGGGCGGAGTTTGCACCCGATTTCAACTATTTTCATACTGTAGGCAGAGGTTCTAAAAATATTTGTTCCAGTGAATTTTGTTATTATGGCTTTAGCGGTTTAGGAGATATGCACATTAAACCTATTAGAGGCGGGACCACGAACACTTAAACAAATTTTTTAACTGCGGACATCTCTCTAATGTGATCCTGGGTCCCAAATAACAGTCTTGTATCTTATTGCGGAGCTTAGTTATGGCAATTTATTTGTTTTTGATTAATGGCGTTTTGTGGGCGTGGCAGTGTTCCGATTACGCCTATCTGCAATACCAACCGTCTCACGGTACCAAGAAAAATGCCTAACAAGTTTCATAAAGATATCTCAAATTTTACTCAAATTAGAGCTTGCACGGACGGACGGACAGACAGTCACCCGGATTTCAACTCGTCTCTTCATCCTGATCATTTATATATACATAACCCTATATCTAACTCGATTAGTTTAAGGTGATACAAACAACCGTTAGGTGAAAAAAACTATTATACTCTGAGGCAACAGGTTGCGAGAGTATCAAAATAGAACTTTGCAAGAGAAGAAAAAATGCAGGTACACTTGAGATTTTGTCTCAGTAATTAGCAATGAAAAGTAGCAGTACATGAAAATACTGTCTAAAATACCAGAATTATCGACATTGTATTTCCAGAGAACGTATAAGGTTCATGCAGAGAACTTAAATGAACGAGAAGGTGCAGGTTCGACAGCGACCAATTTGTAGGAATTTATCAAGGAGTTCACCAGACGCTTTTATAACAGCGGTGAATCTGTAAACATACTCCCTCTTAACATAACCAAACGGCGAATATTGAAGAGAATATAATGTGTATGCCAAACTGGGAATATTGATATGCTATTTGAAACATATTCCGGGTGGGCTTTAGTTTAGCATCCCACGATTTCAGGGTTAAGAGGGGTATGGTTGGATAGAGGAGATTCTCCAGATCACGAATTATTTGCCGCCGGAAACTTATAGTTTTCGAGATATTTGCATTTTAAGTTGAAAATTTCACAAATTTTATTTTAAAATTTCTCGATTTATGGTTAACTTTTCTTTCATATTATGCACTTCTTATACACTAACACTTTACTACAATGTTTCTACATATTTATTTTATGTTAATTATTTAAATATTTGCTTTAATTAAGCATTTTATTTTTACACAATTTTGGTTATATGCACAATAACAAATGGGTTCCATGTTGACAGTTAACAAGTGCTGCCATATCTATTATATATATATATAGATATATTTATATTTTGAAAGCGAATAAAAATGAATAATAAAAGAGGATTATACCCCAAATACATGAACAATTTATAATTTTGTTAATTCTCTTCTATTGATAAATTATGGTGTTGGATCTACCAGGGTTATTTTTTTGAAGCGCAGCCGAAGGCCGCCAATGCGGAAAGAAGTTTCACGCGATTGAATTTTAAACACCCCGGTGTTGGACCGACCAGGGTAATTTTTTGAAGAACGGCCGAAGGCCGTCAATGCGGAAAGAAGTTTCACGCGATTGAATTTTGAACACCCCGGTGTTGGACCGACCAGGGTTATTTATTTGAAGCGCGGCCGAAGGCCGCCAGTGCGGAAAGAAGTTTCACGCGATTGAATTTTGAACACCCCGGTGTTGGACCGACCAGGGTTATTTTTTTGAAGCGTGGCCGAAGGCCGCCAGTGCAAACAGGAAATCTAAATACAAAAAATTAATGTTAAAGAGGTATATCACTCTCTTAAACTTCAATTTCTATAACGAATTTTCTACAACTAAACAAGGTACCGTTTCTTTTTTTGCCGTTTTGCCATTATTTTCATATTCAAATTTAATTGGTGAATATTGTGCATATAAATCATTCCGCAAGTGTTTATATTTTTACATAACTTTTTAATTGTGATATTTTGAGAAAATGAGTGGAAATACATCAGGTATGTTATTAGAAATTTAAAATTATAACAAATATTACTAAGACTTTTAAATAGATTGTAACGACGTCAACCAGCCGTGGTGCGGTAAAAAAAACAACGTTCTCAAAGTGTCCGAAATTAAGGAAATGTGGAATTTCCCTAAAATAATTCAAAATTTCGACACAACTGAGAAATGTATATCGTTTGCAGAGGGAGGAGGGTTTAATTTTAAAAAGCAAACTATGTCGTACGCATAGGATACCTATGTTGGTATCCTTATCAGATAGGAGCACGGTTGGCATATTCCGATGCCGGAAAGGTGCCTGCCGTAAACGGACTGCGGTGTCGAGGTCGAGTGGGACATGGTTTGCAAACGCAAAAATACCACAGCCTCAGATTTTTTATGTAATGTTTGCATTTGCATCGCACTGGTCCCATTCGCAAGTTCGAAAGAACAGTTTTATTAAGGAGCCAATTTTATCCAGCGCTACCATATGTGATTGGTACAATTACTGCCGCGAAGCGGTAGTTTTATACCAGGTTGATCACCAGGTAGCGGTAGGTAAAATTGGCGGCCCTGGTAAAATTGTTCAAATAGACGAGAGCAAATTCGGGAAACGAAAATATAACAAAGGTAATAATAAATACATTATTATTTAGTATTAATTATTTAATTATTTAATTTTTTTTTTTTTAGGACGGAGAGTGGAAGGCCACTGGGTTTTAGGGATGGTAGAGGATGGGAGTGACGACCTTCGGCTGGAAGTGTGTCCCGATAATGTGAGGTCTGCTGAAGTGCTCATACCCTTAATTCAGAGACACGTTTTACAAGGTAGCATCATATATGTACTGATTGTTGGAAGGCGTACGACTGCCTGTCCAGTCACGGGTATGAGCACCGACGCGTTAACCATAGCGATCCAGAAAATCCGTTTGTTGCCGAAGATGGAACACACACGCATAGGATAGAATCCCAGTGGCGCGTTATCAAACGGTTTATTTTAAAAGACAATTATAATAACAGTGAAGATTTCTCGAATTTGATTTATGAATACGTATAGCGTAAAAATGTTGCAAATCAGCATCACGATCCATTCGTGAAACTATTAGATGCAATAAAACATACCTTTAAGCCATAAAACCTTTTTTTTTTTATTAATATGGAAAATTTAGTTCATATTATTTTGTAGAAGGTAATTGGGTTTTTATTTATTTTGATTGCTGTCATTCGTTTGGATATGGCAACACTTATTATCTGACAACATGGAACCCATTTGTTATTGTGCATATAACCAAAATTGTGTAAAAATAAAATCTTAATTAAAGCAAATATTTAAATAATTAACATTAAAAAATATGTAGAAACATGTAGTGAAGTGTTAGTGTATAAAAAGTGCATAATAAAAGAAAATTAACCATAAATCGAGAAATTTAAAATAAAATTTGTGAAATTTTAACTTAAAATGCAAATATCTCGAAAACTATAAGTTTCCGGCGGCATAATTATATATATCGTGATCTGAGAATCTCCTCTATCACAACCATACCCCTCTAACCCTGAAATCGTGTGATGCTATACTAAGTTTTCCCATATTCCCTTTTATTGAACTATTATTTATTATTATTTTAAGTTATTTTATGTTCATTCATTTTTACTTTATTGTGAGTAATTAATAATAATTTAAAAATATTAGAAATTAAATAGAATTGTGTTTGCCGTCGGCATTTCACATTCATGCTTCAATTTTCTTTTCAAATGCATGTGTAAAGGAATTATGTACGTAATATGTTACGTATTATGTCGTTTGCACATTTGTATGTATTTGTATGTATATAGTACACTCAATTCTTCATGTGAAATCTCCGTTGACATATTTTTTGCTTTTATGTCAAAGAGTCTATCTGTCGAAGGACTGACGCGACGACAAAGCGTCACAACATTGTGTTATTGGTAGAAAATCCGAGATGTGCCGAAAAAATAAACGAACGCTCGCCGATTGTCATCATTTCCCTTGCCGCTCTGACAGCTTTGCCTACAAATCATTGTAGGTATGTATGTATTATATGAACATGCATACATATTGACGAAGATTTTTGCGAGCCGCGGAAAATATTTTAGAATTGTGAAATATTTTAAATCGACAAAGCCTTGTTGCCACTTTTGTCATTGATTTCTGTGTTTGCAGGGTTGTCACTTTTCTCTTATAGAGGGAACATCAGAAAGATGTTCAATTTATGATTTTAGCTTTTGCCATCGTCGCGAAAAGACGCTTGTAGACAAACGCATGCTCGGGGAGATGTGTAAGGCGTTTGCTTTTATGAATGAAACGACTTAGCTTAGCTTAGGTATATATATAGATATATTTATATTTTGAAAGCGAATAAAATGAATAATAAAAGGATTATACCCCAAATACCGACCAGGTGCAAACAGGAAATCTAAATACAAAAAATAATGTTAAAGAGGGTATATCACTCTCTTTAAACTTCAATTTCTATAACGGAATTTTCTATAACTAAACAAGGTACCGTTTCTTTTTTTGTCCGTTTCGCCATTATTTTCATATTCAAATTTAATTGGTGAATATTGTGCATATAAATCATTCCGCAAGTGTTATATTTTTACATAATTTTTAAATTGTGATAATTTTGAGAAAATGAGTGAAATACATCAGGTATGTTATTAGAAATTTAAAATATAACAAATATTACTTAAGACTTTAAATAGATTGTAACGAACCGTCAACCAGCCGTGGTGCGGTAAAAAAAACAAACGTTCTCAAAGTGTCCGAAATTAAAGAAATGTGGAATTTCCCTAAAATAATTCAAAATTTCGACACAACTGAGAAATGTATATCGTTTGCAGAGGAGGAGGGTTTAATTTTAAAAAGCAAACTATGTCGTACGCATAGGATACCTATGTTGAGTTCCTTATCAGATAGGGCACGGTTGGCATATTCCGATGCCGGAAGGTGCCTGCCGTAAACGGACTGCGGTGTCGAGGTCGAGTGGACATGGTTTGAAAACGCAAAATACCACTGCCTCAGATTTTTTATGTAATGTTTGCATTTGCATCGCACTGGTCCCATTCGCAAGTTCGAAAGAACAGTTTTATTAAGGAGCCAATTTTATCCAGCGCTACCATATGTGATTGGTACAATTACTGCCGCGAAGCGGTAGTTTTATACCAGGTTGATCACCAGGTAGCGGTAGGTAAAATTGCGGCCCTGTAAAATTGTTCAAATAGACGAAGCAAAATTCGGGAAACGAAATATAACAAAGGTAATAATAAAACATTATTATTTAGTATTAATTATTTAATTATTTAATTTTTTTTTTTTAGGACGGAGAGTGGAAGGCCACAGGGTTTTAGGGATGGTAGAGATGGGCGTGACGACCTTCGGCTGAAGTGTGTCCCGATAATGTGAGGTCTGCTAAAGTGCTCATACCCTTAATTCAGAGACACGTTTTACAAGGTACCATCATATGTACTGATTGTTGGAAGGCGTACGACTGCCTGTCCAGTCACGGGTATGAGCACCGACGCGTTAACCATAGCGATCCAGAAAATCCGTTTGTTGCCGAAGATGGAACACACACGCATAGGATAGAATCCCAGTGGCGCGTATCAAACGGTTTATTTTAAAAGACAATTATAATAACAGTGAAATTTCTCGATTTGATTTATGAATACGTATCGCGTAAAAATGTTGCAAATCAGCATCACGATCCATTCGTGAAACTATTAGATGCAATAAAACATACTTAAGCCAAAAACCTTTTTTTTTATTAATATGGAAAATTTAGTTCATATTATTTTGTAGAAGGTAATTGGGTTTTTATTTATTTTGATTGCTGTCATTCGTTTGATAGGCAACACTTATTACTGACAACATGGAACCCATTTGTTATTGTGCATATAACCAAAATTGTGTAAAATAAAATGCTTAATTAAAGCAAATATTTAAATAATTAACATTAAAAAATATGTAGAAACATTGTAGTGAAGGTGTAGTGTATAAAAAGTGCATATAAAAGAAAAGTTAACCATAAATCGAGAAATTTTAAAATAAAATTTGTGAAATTTTCAACTTAAAATGCAAATATCTCGAAAACTATAAGTTTCCGGCGGCATAATTATATATATTCGTGATCTGGAAGATCTCTCTATCCAACCATACCCTCTTAACCCTGAAATCGTGTGATGCTATACTAAAGTTTTCCCATATTCCCTTTTATTGAACTATTATTTATTATTTTTAAGTTATTTTATGTTCATTCATTTTTACTTTATTGTAGTAATTATAAAATTTAAAAATATTAGAAATTAAATAGAATTGTGTGTTGCCGTCGGCATTTCACATTCATGCTTCAATTTTTCTTTTCAAATGCATGTGTAAAAGTAATTATGTACGTAATATGTACGTATTATGTCGTTTGCACATTTGTATGTATTTGTATGTATATATGTACACTCAATTCTTCATGTGAAATCTCCGTTGACATATTTTTTGCTTTTATGTCAAAGAGTCTATCTGTCGAAGGACTGACGCGACGACAAAGCGTCACAACATTGTGTTATTGGTAGAAAATCCGAGATGTGCCGAAAAATAAACGAACGCTCGCCGATTGTCATCATTTCCTTGCCGCTCTGACAGCTTTGCCTACAAATCATTGTAGGTATGTATGTATTTATATGAACATGCATACATATTGACGAAGATTTTTGCGAGCCGCGGAAAATATTTTAGAATTGTGAAATATTTTAAACGACAAAAGCCTTGTTGCCACTTTTGTCATTGATTTCTGTGTTTGCAGGGTTGTCACTTTCTCTTATAGAGGAACATCAGAAAGATGTTCAATTTATATGTTTTAGCTTTTGCCATCGTCGCGAAAAGACGCTTGTAGACAAACGCATGCTCGGGGAGATGTGTAAGCGTTTGCTTTTATGAATGAAACGACTTAGCTTAGCTTAGGTATATATATAGAATAATTTATATTTTGGAAGCGAATAAAAAGAATAATAAAAGAGGATTATACCCCAAATACCGACCAGGTGCAAACAGGAAATCTAAATACAAAAAATTAATGTTAAAGAGGGTATATCACTCTCTTTAAACTTCAATTTCTATAACGGAATTTTCTATAACTAAACAAGGTACCGTTCTTTTTTTGTCCGTTTCGCCATTATTTTCATATTCAAATTTAATTGGTGAATATTGTGCATATAAATCATTCCGCAAGTGTTTATATTTTTACATAATTTTTAAATTGTGATAATTTTGAGAAATGAGTGGAAATACATCAGGTATGTTATTAGAAATTTAAAATTATAACAAATATTACTTAAGACTTTTAAATAGATTGTAACGAACCGTCAACCAGCCGTGGTGCGGTAAAAAAAACAAACGTTCTCAAAGTGTCCGAAATTAAAGAAATGTGGAATTTCCCTAAAATAATTCAAAATTTCGACACAACTGAGAAATGTATATCGTTTGCAGAGGAGGAGGGTTTAATTTTAAAAAGCAAACTATGTCGTACGCATAGGATACCTATGTTGGTATCCTTATCAGATAGGAGCACGGTTGGCATATTCCGATGCCGGAAAGGTGCCTGCCGTAAACGGACTGCGGTGTCGAGTCGAGTGGACATGGTTTGAAAACGCAAAATACCACTGCCTCAGATTTTTTATGTAATGTTTGCATTTGCATCGCACTGGTTCATTCGCAAGTTCGAAAGAACAGTTTTATTAAGGAGCCAATTTTATCCAGCGCTACCATATGTGATTGGTACAATTACTGCCGCGAAGCGGTAGTTTTATACCAGGTTGATCACCAGGTAGCGGTAGGTAAAATTGGCGGCCCTGGTAAAATTGTTCAAATAGACGAGAGCAAATTCGGGAAACGAAAATATAACAAAGGTAATAATAAATACATTATTATTTAGTATTAATTATTTAATTATTTAATTTTTTTTTTTTTAGGACGGAGAGTGGAAGGCCACAGGGTTTTAGGGATGGTAGA